CTGTTTTATAAAGTTAAAATTATTATTAGGAATCTGAAACAGAGTCGTTGGTAGAGGTATCAATTGACGACGAAGAAGAGGTTACATTTTTGCAAACTACAATATAACTATTATAATTTTAAAAAATATTTCACTATAAGTGATCTAAAGATTATTAGTTTATTAAAATGCTTAGATCAAATTTATTGATATTTTATTCAAAAATGTTTGTACTAGATAATTTTTATTTAGTTAATTTAATTATGTATTAACAAAATGTAAAATTAACTTGTACTATAATATTGTATTATAATATTAAATAAGCATTAGCGGATATTCATTCAAAATTTTTTAATGAATATTCGAATACATATTTTGTGACTGGATCTCCGGATTGTAATCTTTAGGAATGCATCTAGCTTGGGCGCATGTAAAACAGTCTTGATTCCAAACATGGCATTTATCATTAGGAGGACACGGATCTTCACATTTTGGCAGTATTAGGATACAATTAATGCATTCTGATATTTGTTAAAATTAATTATGTTATCTAAAATCGATAAATGATAAGAAAAATGAGAATGGATATACTTACGTTTTGGAGATTTGACGCAATGAATAGTTTCGCAAGAATAACAGAAACGTTTCTGAATCCAGCATTCACAGTTAGAGGCACATGATGGGCATGTAGCCTTGAGGCATGTAACGCATTCTATATAACAATTAAAACAGAAAAGTAAGCTAACCGTTGAGAATTAATGAAAACGAATGCTTTTTGATAATAAATTTACTTGGATTTTCTTTTGGTCGACACGTATATTTTCCACACTGAGAACAAGTGTTTTCAGATAAAATACAAACATGATTATTATCGCATGGCGGGTCGCATTTTCCCTTTGGTGGTAATATTGGACATGTTACGCATGGATTAACTAATACAAGAACATTTATACGTATAAATATATAGAAGATTTAATACGTAATATGTATCGATTCACAATCTATGTACTATATTAATTTACCATAGTTTGCGTATGCATGATCGATTGTAACGATTAAAACGAAATTCAAAGCAATAGTAAAAACGAAATAAAATTTTAATGTCATTAGATAAAACATGTATTTGAAAATTTAGAATTTAAGAAAGAGAAATATTAGACGTTAAAACTTTATATCAATAAATTATGCATCTATTTATACTTTAATATATCACAAGTTAAGGATGTTAACCAGCCTATATGTTTAATTATGTTTAATTATGTCTATTACTTATATCAGAATTTACATAATAACTAAATAAACTAATTATACCGTATTCTACCATAAATAAACACCATTCCCTCTATCCCATTTTTTTAAATGTCAGATTAGCGGAAATCGTAATAAGTTCTTTAGCCAAGTTATTCCCGCTAATCTGACATTTAAAAAAAATGGCTATGCAGCATGGTGCTTAATCGTCACATATTATAATTTATGTAAAAATTAACGTCTGATGTGATTTCCATAATTTTAATCATGCAACAATTAAGCACCATGCTGCATAGTGCCCATCTCTAGGTAGAGAGGATGGTGCTTATTTACGGTAGAATACGGTATATTCCGCGGCTCCTAATGTTCGCCCGTGAACATTTCTGATGATATTTTTATGATGACGTAATGCCGTGAAATATCTATTACATATTTGTTAATACCTCCGGCAGCAGATTCAAAATTCCATTTAGCAGAAACATCGCAGGAGACATGTCATGTCACAATTTAACGCCTGCTTCCGATCATTCATTCATTCATTCATAGATACTTCATTGGTCTCGAATAATGTGACATACATAATTGTCCCGTCGTTTAGTACATTATTCATGATTCTTTCTTATTAAGATTAGAATGCAATCACAACTAACAAAGAATTTTTTGTAAGTTGGCTGTTTTATTTTTGTACGTAGTTTGGGTATTCTCTCTCGTGTAGATTTCAATTGCAGGGTAATAATTGTGGCAGATTAAAATGAAATCAGATTAAAATAAAATTTTGTATAGTATAAAATAGACAAGTCAAATTTTTGGGATGCATTTTTTAAGGTTAGAGATAGTAAACAAGTATATGTGAGTTTTAGTATGTTAAATAGAAACCCAAAATTTCATTTTAATCCGATTTCATTAATCAATAAAACAAACTTTCACTTAATATATTGAGGGTCACGCATTAAAAGGGTCCATTTTCAAAAAAAGTTTTGATTTTTAAATAGATATGCATTCAATAAAAAGTTTGCTATAAGTTACAAGTGCTAATTATATAATAAAAAGATTCGCAAAATGAATTTTAAGCCGATTTACTCAAAATTGTTTATATGTAAAAAATGGACCTTTTTAATGCGTGACACCCAGTGTTGTCATTTGTACTATTTCCAATAAAAATTTTATTCGGACATGGTGTCCACGTCCATCTTCTGTATATTGATCAATGTTCAAAAAAATTTTTAAAATGTATCCTGGTGCAGTGACGGGCAATTTACGGATTCCCCAGTATCCTGCGTGGAATAAAGACCAATTTATGGTTCACTCATGTTTTCTTTGCCAAAATCCTTCGAAATATTGCCCGTATTTTACGTCCAATGACATCTACTCGGAATATTTCGATTTTTATTTGGACTAAGAACTAAATATTATGTCCAATAGAAAAAAAAATATGGATAGTATGGACATAGTCCATAAATATCCGTGTCCATTGGTCCATATTGTCCACGTCCATATTCT